AGCCCCCTTGTTGGAGTTTGGGAGGCCGGCTACGATTTTGTATTCTGTCGACCTCGGCTTAAGATAATAAACGAAGCCTTTTTCCTTCAGGTTAAGGGGGCACATGGTATAACAGTACTGAATGTTAGCCGGGGTGATCCTAGCGTTCTCCTGCCTAGCTAAAGCTATGATGCCATTGATCACTCGATAAGAGTTTATGGCAAGTTGCATAGGGTTCAACTTATAAAAGTGAAGAATTTCGCGAAAGAGAATGTTAAGTGAGAGCCGGAGTTCGCACTCAGTAAAAGCTACTATAGGAAAGGGCATTGAATCATCTGTGGGCATGATAGAGTCATTATCTTCAGCTAGCCTCAGATGGACATCGGCAGGAATAGAAAACTCTCGCCTAAAGTACTCAAGTTTGGTCGGGGTGTCTACCCTATGTCTCCACATACCCATAACGTCAGCCTAAAATCAGAGGGCTAGGTTTCAGAAAGAAGATGCTCTTAAGGGGTTATTAGGACCTCGGCGAAACCCTAGGTATATACTGGTAAGGATTGTTTCAGTTTTTTCCTAAGAATTAACAGGTTCTATAGACAAATCCCAAACCTAAATCTATGGGGGCAAAGATTCAAAGCAAAAATTGAAGGTAGAGATCTGGCAAAGACACAAAAAACAGAAAACAAATACGAAATTTCAGAAACAAGAACATGGATGGGCTATCAAGAACATGAAGAATACGAGAAATTAAAGGACCAAGATCAGTGGCAAAAATATAGTGGCGTAGTGCAACGGTGCGTGTGTTCAAGAGATAGGCAAGGGCCAAATCAAAGAGTAAACACATTCAGATGAATGATTCACAAAATAGATATTTGAGCAAGGCAGTAATAATAGGAGATTCCAGAAATGGCCAAGAATTGAAATCAGAAGGAACAGTTGCTTACCAAAGAAATTGAAGCCGAAATAGAATTTGCCGAAGATAGACGACGGTTACTGAAGTACCAGAGTGGTAAAAGCTTCACCAGGAAGACGAACGAAAACGGTTGCAGAACTTGGAGCCTTAGCAATGGCGGATTCAAGAAGCAAGGGCTTTAGAGAGAGAATAGAAAGTAAAACGAATACAAAGGTAAGGAAAAAATGAAAGAAGAAGGAAGAGTTTTTGTCAAAAACCAAAAACAGCGGCAAAGATAATCAATGCGCCTGGAGCAGCGCATACGTCAGGCGGCGTACGCAGGAAAAACGTGGTTTATAAGCGCGTCACAAACACAGACCAATAAGGTAAAAACGCGTAAGTGAAATGGTTGAGAAGTGATGCATGACAGCTCATGCGTATAGGTAAGTTCATTTGAGTTCTTGTTCTTGAAAACAAGGCATATCGGCTTGACAATCTCGGCTGAAGAGTTCTTACGCCGAGGTACTAAGAAGACAATACATATATAGGGCGTTTTATGCCGAGGTAATAGAACCTAGGGAGCAGTTGTGGGGATGTATTTTCTGAATACCAACACGTGGCAAGGTGACGGCGATATGTCAGCCGAAGTGCCACGTGTCCAGGTTGTGACTCCGAGGTTATCTCGTCAAGGCCGAGGTTATCTCCGAAGATATCGGAATCCAAGATAAGCGGCTAAGGGACAAGAGTCCTAGAGAAAAGAGAAGACTTTGCAGAGATAAGGATAAAACTCTTAGGGAGTTTATCTTTATCTCTTGAGGAATCCAAAGTAAGCACTGAATTGGAGTCCATAGAAGTCGGGTTTCTAGTGGGACTTGGATTGACTAAACTATAAAAGAGAGGCATCCCCGTGGGTCTAAGGTACGTAGTTTTATGCTTAAGCTTGTGAGTTTAGCACTTGATTATCTTTGAGAGATATATTGACTTGATCGTCGGAGTGTCCCCAGTTGGAAGAGCCACTGTCGGAGCTTTTTCTTTCTGTTACAGGTTTGCTAAAGCCATCTATTCTACCGGTGTTCTCCAGCTGATTACTAGGCGGGCAGTGTGGTCAGATTTTCACCCACACATATATATATATAATAAAATATTAAAATGTATTGCTTGTCCGTAAAACATTGGATTAGCCAACTATCAACTTTGGCCCATTTTGGTAAGAGATTAAAAATCGGTTCCTCTCTATTTTTTAACATATTTTTTTGAAAAAAAAAAATATATATATATATATAAATTGTTCCGAAAAACTGCACTAAACAATACTTAAGTTGGTTATCATTTATCAACAAAACAAACTATTAATAATTTCACCGGTGGTGTTTGGGAAGTTTGATAGTTGGGTTTTTTTTGATTTTTTCACTAAAAGACGGGTTTTTTTTTTGATTTTTTTACTAAAAGATAAACTTTTTGTAAAATAAAAAATAAATAAATTCAAACAAAATATCATATCTAACTTCATAATCATTTCATTTTTTCTCTTACAAACATTACATTTAACCACAAAAAAACTCAACAATCTTCTCAAACATTAAAATTTTTTTATTCAATAATATCTTATAACTAAAAAAACCTACATAAAAACTCACTTCCCAAACACCCACAAAAAAAGCTGATGGTGTTCAAGCTCATGGACCCCACCGTGTGTTCCAATAATTTGAATAATTCATTTTACAAGATTTTCTATTTATATTATTCATAAAAAAAAATCAAATCGATTTAATAATGATAACTTTTTCATGTTATCACATTTCTTTCTAAAAATCAAATGATCTATTTTTTAAAACATATTTATTATCTATTTTTATAGACATAAATATGATAAAATGAAAACATTATATTATAATTATTATATTAAACAAAATCACGAAAGATCTTATAAAATAAACCAATTGGATAATTAAAAGGAACCGTAATGGGCCGATGAGCCCGACCATATAGTCAAGGTCATACAGATACCCAACCCTTTCACAAAATCCTTGGCTACAGCATTGATTCCTATAAATAATATCACATAATAGTCATGACCAACAATATTATGGTTATTTAAAATAAAAATAAACCCAGTGAGTAAATACCCAAAATGCAAAGAAAGAAAATTTTAATGGAAGAAATAACCATACCGTCTACAAAACTTCACACAAATGTTCAATAAACTAATAAATTTTATAAAATTTTCATATTTCTTTGCTTTAAATTTATCATATCACGTTGATCTCAATTTTAAATATTAACATTTTATTACAACACATGACAAACAATAAATTTAAAAAAATTATAAATTATATTAATTTATATAGTAACATGTATTTATTACAATAATGCTTGATAGCCCAAATTTTTATGACTCGAATGGCACGAATATCTTAAAACGACGTCGTTTTGAGACATTTGAACCATTTAAAACACATAAATTCAAGCTACCAAACATTTTTCCATTTATTAACCCAGGTAGGCATGTGTATTTCTATACATACAACACAACTCACATATAAATGAGACAGAGAGAGAGAGAGGGGGATATATGAGGCTGGATTCATACCTAAAACTTATGTTTGAAAAACATTTTGGAGAGAGAGAGAGAGAGAGAGTTGAAGAGCTCAAGAATGGCCTAGAGAGAGACAGAGAAGCTTGGTTTTGAAAGTGGGAGTGAGAGTTCATTTGACAAACAATTTATAGTAAAAGGGAAGACATTGGGTTGGAGAAGTGAAAGTTTGGGTTCATTTTGTTTTTGTTTTTGTTTTTGTTTTTCTGTTTCGATGCTTTCTGACTAAGGTTTGGCTTCTTCTTCAGTTTCACCTCTGGGTTTTTTTTTGTTCTTCTTGTTTTGCGCCTCTGCCTCAAAACAGGACAAAAAGAGTGTGAATTACAAAATACAAATAATTAAAAGAAAATACAACAAGTGTGTGATTTGCTTTGCTGCAACTTCTCCTTTTTTTTTTTTTGAAAGTCAAAAGTATTTCACTTTTAATTTTTCAAGAATTAATTTTTAAAAATTATTTAAAAAATAACCAAAATTATACCAACATTATATATTAAGGGACTTCTTATCCGATTTTCTTACTTATAAACACAAAGGTAATGAGATTCATATCAACAAAAACTTGTAGAATTCATTGCTTGAAAAACATAACGCTTTAAAAACAGAATTTCTATATAAAAAACATATATAGTATAATGTGCATTATTTATGTCCATTCATTTAGGATCCGCCTTAGCTTTTAGGGGGTCAATTTGAAATCAAAATTTAAGGCATTCACACAAACACACACACACATATATATAATTTTTTTATTACAAAAAATTGTTGGTAAAATATTTTTTATTTGTAACTACACAAATTTCCGTACATATACATAAACATTAAAATTATTAGTTTTTTATCTGCAAAAATGACTTAAAATATTGGGAAATTTATCGGAAAGTCCTTTATGGGTGAATTGTGTTCCATTTGGTCCTGCTGATTTTTTCTTTGATTGACAACTCCATATTAGGTGTGTTTCCTTACCCATAAGTCCTTTTTTAAATTTTTTTGTGTGGCCTAGACGGATATGGCCTCAGCTAATATATGGGATGTTCTGTTTTTCCATATTGGTATGCGCAATCCCAGCAATTGTGGAACCTGACAGTGGGTCAAAATTCATTTAAGAGGTATTATAATTAGGGTTTACATTGTGGGTTCATGATCGTCTCTGCGGCTTAGAAATTCAGCCGCTTACGTTCACACCGTCATATCACACAGGTTCTCTCTTCATTTTCCGTTACGGATCCCCCACTCACCATACCCACACTTCAGTAATCCCCCCCTCACCTATGCACAACTTCGTCGATGTTGTGGAACACACCGACACGTTAATGTTTACAGATAAACATTCGACTTCACGAACACAATAGCCAATTCCATGTATTCCCGTTCGATACGCACTTGTAACCACACATTGACAACGATGCACAATTCCCATATGCATAATTCCCATTGCAGTTGCAGTTCTATAGCAATTTTTTTCATGTTCGGCTTATGGGTCTTTCTCACATACTTAGTCCTCTGTTATTTATTACTGATACCTGTGCCGTTATGCAGATGGACGCCCTTTTGATGCTTCTTTGTTCTTACCGGTCCACGAATGTCGCATATAATCTGCAATCGTCAAACACATTTGCTGAGGTTGTCGATTATGTTTGTTCGAAGTTTTCCGGACTCCTGCCGGGAAATTTCGAGTTGTTCTATAAGATTCGCGGCTATAACAATTTCTCCTTACAGAATGATGTCGACCTGAAGAATATGGTTTGCCTTACGCGCTCGTTCCAGTTGCAGTTAATTGACGTGGTCATTGAACAACATCCTCGTCGGGATGACAACACTCCTGCCATTGACCCAATGATAATCCAAGATCAAGGCACAACGGGGGATGCACTACTTAATGATTTCGGAATGGATGATGAAGTCGACCTGCTGCAATCATTTTGTCCCCACAAGGAGAAAGTCTTCCTTTCCGCTCCATGGGCAAAAGGTTTTACCCACATTGGACAACATTTCGAAGGTGGGGCTTCTGAATTTCGCAATGTACTACGGAAATACGTCGTTGAATGTGGGTTCCAGATCAAATTTCTGAAGAACGACTCCGTTCGGGTAACGGCTATATGTGCTATGAACGAATCGAAGTCTTGCACGTGGTCTGTGCACGGACGGAAATTGGAGGCAAACAGATTTTTCTACTTACGAAAATGGAATAGTGAACACATTTGTGGCGTGGCTGTGCGTATGTCCACACACCCACTTGTTGGGTCTGATCTTGTGGCCGACATTGTATCTGAACGTGTGCGTGATAGACCTTTAACCCGTCCGACTGAAGTGATATTGGACTTGAAACAAGATTACGGGCTTGATATAAGTTACCGGGTGGCCTGGCTCGGTGTTGAAAAAGCGAGGGGAGAATTGTTCGGTGCACATTCCATTTCATTTGACTAGTTACGTTGATATAGCAACGTAGTATTGGAACACAACCCCGGGACCTACATTAACATTGAATACGATGATCACACCCAACAGTTCAGACGCTATTTCATTTCATTCAAAGCATGCATTGACGGGTTCCACCATTGCCGTCCTCTGCTTTTCCTAGACGCCACGTTCCTCAAAGGCCGCTTCAAAGGTTTTCTACTTGCGGCCACTGCAAAAGACGGAAACCAAGGTTAGTTCCTTCAATTTACACAATCACAGTACCCCATTCACATGACAACCAATCACACCACCTGTAAACTATATTTTAACGTGGTCATTAACCCTAGGCGCTATGTTTCTGTCACAACCTTTGCATGCAGTACATACTTAGTTTTACAAAATTTTCCAAATCTGCAGGTTTGTTCCCGCTATCATATGCGGTGGTGGATTCCGAAAACACCTCATACTGGTCTTGGTTTCTTCATCATCTCGCGCAGGTGGTTCATGGTGACAGACCTCTAACATTCGTATCGGATCGGAACCTTGGTTTGCTTGAGGTAATGCCCACCGTATTTCCGAATGCAGAATATGCATTCTGTCTACAACATTTGCAGAGGAACTTAAGGGACAGGTTGCGTTACACAAACAGTATGCATCGGGCAGGTTTGGTTAGCAAATTACGACATTGTACACATGCACCAATTGTTACCGCTTTTAACCACAGAGTAGAACAATTCCAAAAATCAGGCCGGTCTGTTGCATCTGAATTCCTAGCAAATGCACATCCACAACATTGGGCAAATGTATTTTTCAGGTCCGTCCCACATGTTACTCATAAAAACCACATGCACAACACATTTCCTCATAATGTTCATAATTATTTACCTACATGTTCTACTCATTTTGCAGGGGGCGCCGTTATGGCGAAATATGCTCAAATGCTGCAGAATCATTCAACTCATGGGTCTGTGAGGCCCGTAACCTCCCAATCACAAGAATGGTTGACAGCATACAGACCAAATTGATGCGACAAATGGCGAAACGTAGAGACGCTTCCCAAATGTGGACCGGCACCATATGTCCCAAAATAGAAGATCGTTTAGAAAAAGCATTCAACGAAGGTAGATCATGGAAAGTGAGCCAATCAAACGCTGATGTGTATGAAGTGCACTCTTTCTTGACATCGGACGACGAACTTGCTCATGTTTCAAGTGGCAACTCAATGGGTTCCCTTACGCACATGCGATGGTTGTCGTCCGTAAGAGTGGGCGGGATTTGAACACATTGGTCGAACCATACTTCTACGTGTTCGAGTTTCGGGCCACTTACGCATCAAGCATTTTCCCAATTCCCACTGTCGAGCAACCGCCTTTCAACCCAAATGATTACATCATAAAGCCCCCTGCCATGAAACGTCCACCCGGTAGACCGAAGAGGAAGAGGATACTGTCAAAGGGGGAACATGTTCAGCAAATCAGATGCGGCAGATGTGGGCGCATGGGGAATCATAACAGGAAGACATGCAACGAACCCATTTAACCACATCCTTCCACCCGGACACACCAGCACTAAACTATTATTACTATTCAAGTTTTTTCCTCGCCATATTCGATACAATACTTTCTTATTACTGTTCCAGTTTTTTCCTCGATGCAATTTTTTGGTTTCAATTGTTTTTCGATTTCAATAATTGCGTGCGACGCCACACGACAATGTCATAGCCAATTTACTATCATTGGCACACTCAGTTATTAATAATAGGTTTCCTTCATTTAATTTCATACGTGTTATCTCCATAGCAGATAACGTAGTTCCGTCACAAACTTTGACATCCGTGTGTTGAACCAATATGTCAGCTTATACCTCCCACAACATTTTTTCACGTGACTTTACGTGAATCCTGAACTGCAGTATTTTACAACTACAACAGAACATGCAAATAATCTGCATTCGTGTTTGGTATGACAACATGCAGGGTAACCAAGCCAAGCGTGCGGACGTCATGTGGTGAATATCACACCAGCCTTTGCACATCAACAACATACTACTTCCTCTGTCATTAATTCATACAAGCTTAACAGTGCGAACATCACGCCACAAACACACATTTACGATGCAAACATCAACCAAAACTTGCAACTCACACCATCACCACACACCGACATTCCCAACACCAACTAACAGTCGCACCCTACCCGAAACGATGCACTTTGAACACCGCCAGCAAGACGAACAGAACAACAACCAGTAAGTTAGATTTCCATATCGATGCAACTACAGATTCACACTACAACGTCCCCTTCGAACAGGATCAACAACTTAGCACACATAAACCCCCTCCCATCCAAGAATTGCACCATAATACACATACTACACTTCCTACCACGCAAGCCAGAACCAAATTACAATACCGTATCAGTCCAACCTAAATCCCATTTCGACAACACATTTATATCAACAGATGCATCCGTGATGCCCCACCACATACACGTACAGCACGCCACACACACATTCACGAATGAGATTAATGCAAACACACATACATATAACCAGGACATAAATGCATAACACTTTGTCAAAAATGGACCAACAGTAAATCAGTATTTAAAACGGGCGCATTGATCACTATAATTGAACACAGTTGCGAAACGGAGTAACGTAATACTTGTTATTTGTTTATAATCTAGGCATAATTTATTTTCAGCGTAACCAAAAATATCCACGACAAAACCCACATTATATACCACAAGCCAATGCGAAAACCATAAAACCAACACACAAAATATAAACAGTATGTACTGCAACTGCCAACCAAAAAACTATTTCCAAATTGTAATCTACGCAGCAAAATATAAAGTAGTTGTAGTACGTAGTAACGTAACGGTACATTAACGTCTTCCTTATGTATGCTCCCACTACATTGCTTACCATGGCTCCTGTCCTCCACTGTAACAGCCACTTCAGCAGTCCCACTAACAGCCAGCCCTGTCACTTTACCACCCTCTTCTTCAACCAGACCCACACTACCTTCCCCCAACATACCTACCCCCTCCAACATTGACACTTCGTGCACCTGTACGCTCAACTCGTCCGCGATCACCTAGCCAAAACAGCATATTTTACAACCCAACATCAGTGCAACCACACATAACAACAACAGCATAGAACACATTATAACCTGACAAAAAACTCAATGATTCATAAATAATTACCTCAAACTTATTTGTCTCGGACAGCTTCAGCCCTTGTGAAGTAGATAGCAGCTCACCAACGTCCCATCTGAGGAATCTGGGGAACCTGTGACCATATTTCGGCTTCACAATGTTTGTATGTTCACACAACTAGAACTGCACCACAAACAAGCATGAAACAACCAAACCATAATAACAACCACTCCAAAACCTTAACAAAAACCATAAACTTAGGTTAGCCAAGAAATTAACTACCCACAGACAGGTTATACACTTACTGTTAAAGCAACTACGCATCCGGTAACTTTCTCCGGTGTCCGATGGAAGTCCCTCACCGAACACATGAGCATATTACGTACAGCTGCACCCCAATCATATAATTTCATGGCGTCAAAGTTGTCCACGTACCGTATCAGGGTCCAACTAATGGTCTCTCCGGACGTAGCAAACAAAAGCTTCCCACACACATACAGACAAAGAAACTTGGCCGTATCCTCATGATCGTTCGGGGTGTCCCCCACCGAGGCCTCCATCAGCAAATCCTTCACAAGTTTGGCCGTTATCCTGCTTGTCCCTGGACACCTACGCTGGACAAAATCAGACGCAGGCCTTGGTCGTGGCGTCAAATCAAGGAATGCATTACCACCTTGCAGCCCGAACAACAGCTTCATATCCTCATCCGTCAAGTCAACTCCACGACCACCCAGAACAAACTTGCCTTCCCGTACACTGTATGACCTTAGGATACGCACGATCAGATCGTCGCCTTTTCGGAACTCTGTGTGATCAATCTGGTTGATTAATATAGCTTCAATCATAATCCAAAACGGTGTCCTTCTCAAGTATGCCAGGTGCACTTCCCGCAAATTGACTGTGTAAACCAATTTAATGATCCCAGCAACGTTAGACCGGAAATTGAGCCGTGGTTTGACACCCTTCCTAGCACCAACGGACCGGCTGACAATATTGGGTTGCTTAAACAGGACTCGTCCAGGCATGTTCACCCCGATTTTTCTTCTCAATGACAAGCCCAATGCCTCTTGCCTTTTACGTTCACATGACCTTGTCCACCGAGACCCAGCAGAATTAACCCCTACAGTTCCACAACTCACATAAGCAACAAATACAACTTCACCACAAACTGACAAATTTCACAAATTCACATAGACATACATTACCCAACCCACTCACACCAACACAATCTCAAAAAAAAAAACATGTCACTTAACAAAATTACTTATAACTCCAACAAAAAAATGTTCACACCACATTCACATAACGCCCGTGTACACCACACACATCAACAAACCCTTTGACCAACAATGTCAGTGATAAAGCAACATAATAAAAAACATTTGACACTAGCATACACATGCCACGTCCACACAACTTCCACACACACAAAAAATTATTCCATCCCCACAACCAGGTGCATGCGGTCCCCTTACACAAAGCACTTTTCCCTCGACAGTAAAAAACCCCACACCATAACTAACCTTTTCACAAAAAACTTCAAACACATACCCCACACTGGCACTACAAGTACAATTTTGCCTACGTTTCAAAACCAACCAAAACTTTATTCAAACAACACAACAAACAAATACTCAGAAACACGCCATTACTGAACAAATTACAACGACAATCATACATACATATCATATTTGACTGTGCGGAGTAACACATACCATGATCGCCCCAAACCAAAATCCCTAACCACGTCAATATATAATGCTAAACGTAAAATAATAACCCAATCCATTACCAACTTACCTGTGTCAGGCATTTCAAATACTTTTCCGTACCCCCAGCCAAACAAACCTCAGTCTAATCTGGAATGTTCGCAGAGCGACAACCAATTCCACGGAATGTATTAGGGTTCTTGGCCACCACGAATAAACGATTTCGAACCCTAAGGATTCTTTTATGCATAAAACGAATGCGTCAAATATTTCCAAAACCAAGGGTCGTTGGTTCCGCAATCAACGAAATTTGAATTTCAAATGACACAAGGGGATGATCGTATCAGATTCTGCGTTTCACGTCGACACCCAAAAACGAAATCTTACAAACCCCCAAATACATCGAACAAACAATTAAGAACGGTTTCGTGGGTCGGGTTACACAATATCACGTGATTTGAGAACTGACCCACATCACTGGCAGCAACTAAAAAAAGGTATGAGTACATTTTGTAATTGTTACGAGACACACAATCACACCCCCATTGCCACAAACCCACGCGCGTCCCAAATACCCACCCTAAATTTAAGGCGTCAATGGCAAATTGGTCAACATACACTCAACGGGACTAAACGGTTACACAAAAAACAATTAGGATCATATGGTCTATAAGATGGGAATATAGGATTTACTGGTCAATTCCCCTAAAATATTAGGTGATAAATCATATTTGAAAATATTGTATTAGTGAGCAAATTAATTATAATTTGCTTTTCACAATAATTATAATATTTTATTTTCTGAACAATTTTATATGATTTTTATAGTTAACGTAAACTATAATTATTGAGATAAATTTATGGGAAAATTAGTCTAAGGTCCCTCTCCTATTTTTAGTAATAGAAGAGATCCATAATATTATTTTATGATGTCTAAACTCCCTCAACCCCACGTATACCTCACGGCTTCAAACCTTCACCTCTCTCTCTCTCTTCTCTCTCTCTCTCTTAAACTCACGTCTCACCTCTTCTCTCTCCTCGCTGCTTTTCTCTCTCTCTCATCGATCCAGCTCGATCAATCTAAGATCCCTATGTCAAGAACTCCTCGGCCACTTCTTGCTCCGGTTGAACCGGCGTATGAAGGTCTTCTACCATGGCTTGACGACGCCGTATGAAATGATTGATATCAATGTGGTGTGTTGTGTTGTGTATGGGGTCTCTCAAAATGGGTGTGTGTATCTCCTTCTCCTTCTTCCTCCCTAACCTGAGAGAGAGAGAGAGTGAGATCTCTCATTTTCAAAATGCAATCCACCCCCATGAACCACACCTTCCTCATGACCTTTTCTCTCTCTAGACACCCATCCCTCATATCATAACTTCCTTCCCTTTTTATCCGTGTGTTCTCC